GCCATTGCAGACTTCTCACACTTTGTGGTCTGATTGAGGCATAGTAAGACCGTGGTATGGTTTGCAACCTGGTGGGGTCAATTTGAATGTGTTTTTCTTTCCCATCTCTTCTTAATGGTCTGACTGGCGCTTGCTGCCTTACATCTGTTTTTTTAACCCGCCTTCATTCTGTATTTGTGTAGGGCTCTCCACTTTGCAACCTCGGTTTTCGTACCATCCCCATTCCCCTAGGTCTATCTCTAGTGCGGTTATGTGCAAGGAAAATGAGCGATAGCGAACATCAGAAGCCAAGCAGCATCATACACATGAGACCAGATAGTCGTGACCTCAAACCAAAAACAGAATTGCATCATGAGTTCCACCAAATAATAGTACAGCAAAAGCTCATAAGTGACAATGTTCGAGTAGCCTCATCATCATCAACAAAGAACCAATGTCGACATCCTATCTGTCGCTCGGGGCCCAGACTACAAATGGCAGATCCTATCTAGCCTATCTACAATGCCGCGGGTGACGTCAACAGCTCCACGAAGTACGAGCAGATCTTCGCTTCGCTTCAAGCGCCAGGTATGTCTCTCGTATCACTCACAACCTTGTCCCCCAACTCACAGATGCCACATGCACCCAAAGGACCACCATGCGCCCCATCCAGCATACAGCAGTGCAGCTCGGCTATGGCTGCCTGCTCCTTCCAGCTCACCCATGAGCGCGTGAGCGCTGGCCAGCGTTAGCGCAGCAGCGCTTGCGCAGCATGCAGCCAGTGCCCGAATGGCCCTTTCCTAAATGGAAGTGGCCTGCCTCCTTGCATGCAGCCTGGCTGTGCTGGGCCCCTGCCCAGAAGCTTCCAGTAGGCCCAGTGAGGCTGAGCCCTAGTCCAAACGAATCAGGCCCTGGGCCTGTGGTGGTTGCCCGTGTCCAACCGCCCGCGGCCTGTGTTCAGTCCATGTAGCGAATCTGGCCCAGGGCCTGCCTCAGTTACATACAAAAGAGGCAGCCTGGGCCTGGGTGCTCTCAACCAACTGGCGCTGCGCAGCTGCCTGAATTTCCCCAGTTGCGTGGTGACCCCAATAATGGGCCTGTAGGCCTTGGTCGAGCCTGCCTTCACTTAGGGTGGCCGACCGTTCTGAAGATAGGGCCCAGTAGGGCGTATCGAGGCCTCGAGCCTCGCATATGTCCTTGTTTGGTCTAAATAGCCATGCTAGTTCTTTTACCTTTCTTCTTCTTCCCCTTGCTCTCTTCTGGTTGTTTTTGAGTTCTCTGATCTTTCTCAGGTCCCTGGTATTGAATTCTAGTTTCACAAGCTTCTCCCTTCGCACTGCCGTAATGGCTTTGCTTGAACCTCTAGTTCATGTACGTCAAAGACTGCTAGGTTTGGATCTGTCCTTGATTCCTTGAATGTGGCTTGAAGCGTAGGGCTACTGAGGGTGCGTCTTGAATTTTCAGTGTTGCCCAATCTCTCTTTTCCATGTTCTGTTCTTTTTCAAGAGGGACCTCCAGCCTATAGGGATGCTATCAAGTAGCTCTTCCAATTTTTTCTGCAGGTTATGATTTTCCCGCAGGACAGGTCCTAGGTCATTTTCCGCTTTCCATCTCCTGTTCTCTTCGTTCCATATATGCTTGATTTTCCATATGCCCTTCTCCACCCACCTTCTCCATCTCTTCTCTTTTCCCATGAGAGTCCATGCTTGCCCGTTCTTGTCCATCAGAAGATCATTGCCGAACTGGTGTTGCATGCTGAGCCTGCCACACGGGCCCCATTTTGGGGGCCCCACGGTTGTTGGGGGCCCCCAGGCCGTGCGCCATTTTTCACGCAAGACCTGGAGGACCATGGCCATCCTGGTGGGCCACGCACGTTTGCAGTGCCATCCATGTCCTTTTTAGTCAGCATTTATTTGTTTATTTTTGCCTGACTCTTTGTCTGTTCTATTTTTGTCTGTTTCAGGGCGTCGTTCCGGACCTTGCAGCATGTCTGAACAGACCAGTGTCTGATCGGACTAGGACCACGTTTTGAGCCTCCTTCAGGCCAGAGTCGTGGCCAGGCAATTTTGGACCAGGTTCGGGGTTGTCCAGTAGTGGACTGCTCCTGCTGATACAGCAGGAGAGCCTGGACGTCCGGTAGGGACCCAGGCAGCCCGTCTCTGAGGCCAGGACCAGGATCAGGACTTGGGCCTGCGTTCCAGGCCATCGATCGGACGTGAGATCCGACGGCCTAGGACGCAGGCCGTGGGCATCGCATCCAGGCCCAGCGCTACTTATTGCTGTGCGAGCCCAGATCCTGGGACAGTCGCGGCAGCTCACTTCTTGGGCGCCATGCTGCTCGAGCAGCGTGCGAGGATTAGCGCTATGCTGCATTAGAGGTAGCAAAGTAACAGTAGGAGGGGGAGAGAGTGAGGCAGTGGCCATACCTGCGGAGTGGTGCGGTCTCACCTGGGCGCCATAGCTGGTCTTCTCGGCCAGCGACCTGCAGCGCAGAGAGGCACTTCAGTTGTCGGTACATGGCAGCGGATACCTGCAGGTGAGACAGTGGAGAGGTCGACTTCCCTCTGCTTCCGGTTTCTGCCCTCCATACTCTGCTTCTTCTTCCTCTTCTCCTTCTTCGTCTTCTTCTTCTCCGAGAGAGAGCGGGAGAGGTTACAGGCAGAGGATATGTCGGGCTATGGGGCCCAGGATGTGATTCGACATCACAGGGGCCGACATTGATTGGACATTCGACAGGGGGACTATTTTTGGACTGCGCTATCGCGATCTTGGTCTTCTTCCTCATTTCCATCTTCGTCTTGCTCCTCCTCCATCCTCTCATCCGTGTGTCTCCCCATGTGCGTGTTCTTCCACATGTGTGGTGTGTGATGGGCTGAGTAGAGTCAGTGTTACATCTTCGATGCCACACTGGTCCTACCGGACCCGACTTAGGGCTAGAGGGACACATTAGGGCCTAAAGGCCCGACCGCCGAAAGGCCACGACTTGGACCAGACCCGACGGGCAGGCCCAAACGACATTACCGTTTGGGCCTGGCGGCGCTCTTGAGGCTGCCGCCCGCCGGTTGGGGCTGAACCGTCAATCTCGACGGTTCAGGGCACGGCCAGGCCTCGCAGCATTGAGGCCGGCCTCTGCCCCACCGGTACTAAAAACCGGTCCGGCTTCAGTTCGAGGCATCGAGCCACCGGCATAATGCTGGTGTGTATCGGTTGGCAGCGGCAGCGCTATTTTGAGCGGAGGAGCGGAGGACAGCAGCAGCAGCGCGAGCTAGCGCAGCAGCAGCAGCGAGAGAGGAGGCCAGCAGCAGCACGGCGGTCATAGCCGCCTCGACAGCAGCCGGGCAGGTACCAGGAGGCGAGGATCTCTTCTCCTCCCTCCACGGTCCCGTTCCCTCCTCCTCACCTCCTTCCTCCTCTGCCATCTCTCCCTTCTTCTTCTTCTTCTTCTTCTTCTTCTTCTTCTTCTTCTTCAGACCTCATCTTCTTCTTCTTCTTCTTCTTCTTCTTCTTCTTCTTCTTCTTCTTCTTCTTCTTCAGATTGGAGACTTATACTAGTTGGACAGAGATCAGTGTTGGACTTCGGTGGTAAGAGGCTGTGGTACTTACCGGGTTCGAGACTTGGAGATTGTTGGGGATGATACTCGGCTGCATCACAGATTGGACACCGGTTACATTAGGACTCTGTATCTTCGACATTGGTGACTTATTGTCCGCGACATTTGATCTTGTTCGATGACATTTTGGATTACCATATCGGTGACCTACTGGTTTCTATCTCAGTGACATCTGGTGCTACCTACATCTCCCACCTCCTTCGTCTCTCCTCCCACCTTCATCTGTGTATGTGCGTACGGGGCCTGAGCATCGTCTATGCATGGCTCAGACTTCGGAGCAGACAATTTCACGGATCTGCTCACAAGGTAAGTCTGATTAGGAATAGATTGCTTCTTCGATCTTCCCAATCAGCTCTGTATTACTATCGAGATTCAAAGTTGCAAATTTTTTTTCTTTTTCGGTATTCTGTTTAAATCGGCATTCCGTTTCAATTCGTTATTCGGACTTTTCTTCGGATTTCAGTTTTAATTCGGTATTCTGGTTATTTCGGATTCCGATTAAGTGCATTCTGGGCAATCCGACATTCTGTTTAATTCGGATTTCTGATTATTAATTCGCAATTAGGGTTAAATCAGTACTCTGTTTAATTCGGCATTCTGATTTCAAGTCGGTTTCCGTTTTTATACTTCAGCATTCTGATTTTAATCCTGTATTTCGTTTTCTAAATCGACATTTCCGTTTTATTGCAGTATTGGAAATTAGGGTTACGAAAATTTTTGGTTTTCAATCAACTTGGGAAATTCGAACGTTTTGGAACCGTAAATCCGGAAATTCCGCGGAATCGCGGAAAATTAGGGTTGGGCCCGAAATTTTCGCGAATTTTTTTTTCTTTCCCTGGTTTGAGAAATTCCGAAAACGAACTTGGGCCTTTAAAAAATCCGATTTTGTAGGCTGAAAATCCCAAAATTTTACGTTTTTCAAAATTTCGAGTGTTTTTCTTCCAAAATTTTCGAAATTTTTTTTTTGGCAACTTGTTCGTAATTGTTCCCCAGAATCGCAACTTCCGGAAAGTTCACTATTCAACGGTGAACTCCCGGACTAAAGATGATCTAAAAGGATACCTAATCTTGATACAATTCAAATTCGTTCATTATCATTATTGCAAATATTGTTTTATTGATTATCATTAAGAATCATTATTGCAAATATTGTTTTATTGATTATCATTAAGAATTATTATTTCGTTATTAATCATTAATTAAACTGTATTGATTAAATAATTCGTTATTATTTTCTTTTTACGAATTTTTAAGTTGTTTACGGGAACTTTATCTTTTTCTGTTTGATTAGGTGTCTAAAGTCCATCAGTGGGACAGGGACTGTATGAGAAGTGCTTTCTACCCCTGTTCCCACTCTCCCTCCCCTCCCCGTAATCTGTGACCACCGGGATTTCTCAAGTACCACATCAGCTAGAACTGATGTCGATGGAACAGGACACCGGGGCACTGCCACGACGCAGTGCGAGGCTTGCAATTCGTGCCCGTTCTGTGGTACCTCCACGAACCAAGTATCAGCAACAGCGACTCAGCAGGCGGACGACTCCAGCGGCATCGAGTACAGCACTGACGGTACCGGTTACCACCGGAGTTCTTCCCGCATGTCCGGTCCAAGGGGCCCTTGAACCGTTGGCTGACTACCTTGGGCGGCTACAGGTATTCACGGATGTCGTAGCTACCGCCAAGGCTCAGCAGGAGGCAGCAGAGGCAGAACGTCAGCGGCTGGCAAATGAGGCGGCAGCCCAAGCTCAGCAGACTGCTGAGGCTGACGCAGCGGCACGAGACAGACGGAATGCCGCCAGCACGGAGTCCCTGATTCAAAATGAGAATCAGTGGACAACGCTACTCCAAGGCATGTTCTTTGTGCCTACGGACGCGCAGGCGGAGCCGACACAGGCGGAGGCAGAGAGAAGTAACCTGGCTACCGTGATGTTGAGCGTGATGAGGGGAGTAATGTGGAACAACAAACTGCTGCAGGCACACCTGCGCACGGAACGACAGCAAAGACAAAAGCACCAGCAAGACCTGGCCGCTTTAACAGCTGCCGTCCGCGACGCGGCAATACAGCAGCAGCAACAGCAACAGCTGTTGAACTCCACTCTCGCACGCATCAACAGCATCGAGGCTAAGGCCTCAGCAGCGCCAGGCTGCACGACAGACGCAACGAAGCAGCTCAATGAGCGCATCGATCACGTCGTCACCATCATTGGCGAACTAGGTGATTTCACTAGTCCTGCCACGATCAGCAGCACGGTGGCTGCCATCAAGACGAGCATCACCAAACTGCAGACAAGACCGGACACCGCTACAAAGAATTACAAGATGCCGCACTTCGACATCAGCAAGTTCGACGACTACAACAAGTCGGACGCCTTGACATGGTGGCAAAGTTTCCTCACGGAAGCATCATGCCGCACTGTCCCGGCTGACGACATGATGAAGGCGCTCTACTTACAACTGATTGGAGGAGCGCAGGCATGGATGAACCATCTGGCGGCTACCAAGAAATGCACCTTCGCCGAACTCCACACGCACATCACGTGGAAGGAGTTCAAGAAGCTATGGTTCACTCGGTTCATGGTCCGCAACGTCATGAAGGCGGCCATGAACGAGGTGTACACCTGCTCTCAAGGGAGTATGCCAACTCGAGACTGGACAACCAAGTGGCAAAAGATAGTGACCACGCCAGGCTTCGATTTGAGTTTTACTAACCAACGATCCGAGTTCTTCTCGCAATCGTGCGCAGGACTGCAAACCGCACTCGGCAACGAGTACGATTACGCCTCATTCCAGACCATCTTGGATCGTGCGAACTTGGTCATCCAAACGGATGACAAGGCCGCAAACGAACGGCAGTCCCAGCCGCATTATGTGGCTAAGCAGGGCTATCAACGACCGGCACATAACAATGCCGTGATTTCTGACGAAACAGTCGATCTCCACGCTGCAGCAACATCCTCGAGTGATGGAGGAATTGTAGCAGCGCTCCCGCCGAAGCGTCCCAAGAGAGTTCGGAAGAACAAGGCAACACAAGAGACGGCATCGACGGGAACTGGGCAGCAACCATGGACGGCATTCAAGATAACCAAGGAAATCTATGACCTTCGCCAACAGTACGGATATTGCCTTTGGTGCAATGGAGTCACTCACTTGACCGCACAATGCCCCGAAAAGGGCAAGGCACGCGTACCCCGTCCAGCTAACTCGAAAAACTGAGTTACGCAAGGAGAGGGGCGACGTCTCTCCTCACTCCGCCGGACCCGGTTGCCTTGCTAGCAATCGATGTCACTACCGGGAAGCATGCGTTAGTCGCTGATTCTCGTGCTACGTACGAGGATTATGCCGCCCAACTGGTACCACCACTAGACCAGTCGAGCCACGTGCACTTAAATTGCGTATGCGCAGCCTGTACACCGTCGGCAAGTGATCCGGTCAGTTCGCCACTGATTTCCGAGGACTCGACGGCATGGTCGAGACTTGAGGAGCTTGACCCGCTCACGAAAGAGGACTTCGCTTGGATGCCTCTACCCTCGACCAGAAACCTTGCCAAGGCCGCATTGCAACGCCTTGATGGCAAATCTACGCTCCTATTTGCACACTACAGTACCAGCTCCGTTGACGGATGACGGGGTAGCGGTTGTCGATCTCCGCTCCTATCTTGCGAAGATTGACCGCGAGTACACCACCCAAAGGTACGCCGAAACCGACGCTCCTTTGCTCTATATCCGCATTCAAATCGGAAAGGCAACCTGTGGTGCCTTGATTGATTGCGGAGCGTCTCGCAACTTTATGAACCAAGCCTTTATGGCCCGTGCGTTCGAAGGAAGACGCAACCCACACAAGTTACACTCGCGGACGACCGCATGCAAAAGTCGATTGACCGATGCGTCAACGGCGTTCCGGTATACTTTGCGCCACTTGCGTGCGAGCCGGTGTCTTTTGACATCCTCGACACCAAGTTCAACATGATTCTAGGCATGTGTTGGTTGCATAGCGCCGATCATCCGGTGAACTTTCATGACCGAACCGTTCACATCCGTGATCGGAACGGAGTGTTAGTCCCATGTACAGTCACGACCCCTCACACTTCGATTGCTTGTCACGTGGTTTCCGTTGCGAGAATTTGCGACACCATAGCTCGGAATGACGTCGAGGAGATGGGCCTTGTATTCTTGCATGCTCTCCCCTCGCCGGACGGACCAGCCGCGTCACCGTCGGACCCACGCATTTCTCACCTCTTGGACGAGTATAGAGACGTCTTCGAGGCTCCCACCGGAACGGTTCCGGATCAGCCCATACGTCACGGGATCACTCTCGAGGTTGGCGCCGTCCCTCCGCGTGGATGCATCTACCGCATGAGCGAAGAGGAACTCGAGGTGCTCCGCACACAACTCGATGATCTTCTCGACAAGGGCTGGATTCGCCCTAGTTGTTCGCCTTACGGTGCCCCTGTCCTCTTCGTCCGGAAGGAGAACAAAGATCTACGGTTATGCATCGATTATCGCAAATTTAACGCACAAACCGTAAAGAACGCCGGYCCTCTCCCTCGGATTGATGATCTCCTTGAGCGGTTAGGCGGCGCAACGTACTTCTCGAAGTTGGACTTGAAGTCGGGTTACCACCAGATTGAAATCCAGCCTCAAGATCGGTACATGACCGCGTTCAAGACGCGGTACGGGCATTTTGAGTGGGTCGTCATGCCATTTGGCCTCACCAATGCCCCCGCGACTTTCCAAGCAACTATGACGACTAAGTTTCGCGACTTGCTCGATCACAGCGTCCTCATCTACCTCGACGACATCTTGGTTTATAGTAGGACGTTGGACGAGCACATCATACACCTCCGCTCTGTTTTGGATCGTTTGCTACTAGCCAAGTAGAAAGCAAATCTCGACAAGTGCGAGTTCGCCAAGCAGGAGTTCGAGTACTTGGGTCATGTTGTCACGCCGAAAGGCATTTGTCCCTTAGCGGACAAGATCCAAGCCATCGTGGATTGGTCGGAACCCCGTTGCACGACGGATGTACGCTCTTTCATGGGTTTGGCTGGATATTATCAGCGATTCGTCGAGTCATACTCGAAAGTGGCCGCTCCTTTGTCGAGACTTCAGTCCCCGAAGGTGCCCTTCGAGTTCGACGACGCAGCCCGTGGCGCGTTCACTATGTTGAAGGCAGCAATGCAAGCCGCACCTGCCCTCCGTATATATGACCCCACCCTTCCCACCCAAGTGAGTACGGACGCTTCGGGATACGGTATTGGTGCGGTGTTGGAACAGTGTCACGAGGACGGTTGGCATCCGGTCGAGTATTTCTCCCAAAAGGTGCCTCTCGTCAACACTCTCGACGACGCTAGGAAGAAAGAGCTACTCGCGTTCGTCACCGTTCTCAAACAGTGGCGCCACTTTCTTCTCGGTCGTCGGCGTTTTAAATGGAATACGGACAACAATTCGTTGACCTTTTACAAAACGCAGAATACGGTCACTAGCACAATCGGTCGATGGATGTACTACATCGACCAGTTCGACTTTGACCCGTGCCACATTCCCGGTCCCGTCAATCGAGCTGCGGACGCCCTCTCACGACGGCCCGAYTTTTGTGCCATTGTGACCACGGCATTCGACCTCGACGACGATCTGCAGCCACATTTCGTCAAAGGCTACAAGTCCGATCCGACTTACTCTACGCTTTACACAGAGCTTTCATCGGATCGCCCGCCGGCTAGCCACTATCGGATTTCCGACGGGTTCCTTCTCCTTCACACAAGAGGAAAGGACTTGTTAGTTGTSCCCCAAGATCGCATCTTACGGACTCGTCTTCTCGGCGAATTCCACGACGCACGACTTTCGACACACCTTGGCGTGAACCGCACAYTAGCACGCCTCCGCCAGCGTTTTCACTGGCCCGACGTCCTTCATGACGTCACGAGGTACATTGAGTCATGTGCAGTTTGCCACCGTAACAAGGGTCGATCTCGAGTCCTCTTCGGCGAACTGAAACCATTGCCGATTCCTTGGGCACCGCGCCTCTCCATTGCTATGGACGTGACAGGCCCGTTCCCCCGCGATCGCCATGGCCATGACGGTATTCTCACGGTCGTTGACCGTTTGAGCAAGTATGCTCGCTTTCTTCCTTGCAAGTTTCATGCTGCAGCACCTGAGCTCGCACGACTCTTGCACACCGGTTGGATTACCAACCAGGGTGTTCCGGAAGACATAGTGAGCGACCGAGATACTCGCTTCATGTCGGCCTTTTGGACTTCCCTTATGGCTGAGTCCGGCACGACAATGAAGCCGAGCTCAGCTCGGCACCCGCAGACGGATGGCCAGACGGAGCGAGCACACCAGACCGCTCAGATGATGTTGCGTACGCTCATCCATCCCGACCAGAAAGATTGGGTTGACCGACTTCCCGACATTGAGTTCGCCTACAACACTTCGGTGCATCCGGTGATCTGCGTCACACCATTCGAGCTACATCATGGTGGAGAGAAAGCACGGATCTTCGCTGATCTCCTTCTGCCACAGGCCGCCGACATAGACGTCCCTTGCTCTCCCGCTTCCGTTCAGAAGTACCGGGACTTGCTGATCAAAGCCGCGCGAATATGCAAAAGGCTCAGATCCGCATGCAACAGCAGGCTAACCGACGTCGACTCCCATGTCCTTTCCGCGAGGGAGACCTTGTTTGGGTCCTCTCCGAGGAATTTGCGCTCGAGCAGGACGTTTCGTGCAAACTCCTTCCGAAATGGTTCGGACCATGGGAAGTCACTTCTGCCGTTGGAGATGACCCCCAGGTCCTTCCTTTGTGGTCAACATTCCCCCGCACCTTCCAGTGCACCGGCTCTTCCACGCATCGAAGCTGGCCATCTACACGCCACCTTCCGCCGATGAGTTTCCCGGCCATCGATCACAGGATCCGCCTTCTATGGACGGACATCAGGAAGTCGACCGAGTCATCACGCACCGCAAGTATGGCAACAAGCCAATGCAGTTCAAAGTCACATTCAAGCAATGTGCGCCTGACGACACTCGGTGGATCTCTAGTGCAGACTTACAGACTTCTGCACCCCTCATCTTCGCCGACTATGAGAAGCGACGCCTTGCCAAGGAAGCAGYTCGTCCCACCCGACCCATCCTGGTATCGGACAGACAACTCCGCCCTCGCAAGTAGCTCGGTCTTTTAAGAGGGGGAGTGTGTTACATCTTCGATGCCACACGGGTCCTACCAGACCCGACTTAGGGCTAGAGGGACACATTAGGGCCTAAAGGCCCGACCTTGGGGGATTATCAGGCCGAAAGGCCACGACTTGGACCAGACTCACGGGCAGGCCCAAACGACATTACCGTTTGGGCCTGGCGGCGCTCTTGAGGCTGCCGCCAGCCGGTTGGAGCTGAACCGTCAATCTCGACGGTTCAGGGCACGGCCAGGCCTCGCAGCATTGAGGCCGGCCTCTGCCCCACCGGTACTAAAGACCGGTCCGGCCTCACTTCGAGGCATCGAGCCACCGGCATAATGCTGGTGCGTATCGGTTGGCAGCGGCAGCGCTATTTTGAGCGCAGGGAGGACAGCAGCAGCAGCGCGAGCTAGCGCAGCAGCAGCAGCGAGCGAGGAGGCCAGCAGCAGCACGACGGCCATAGCCGCCTCGACAGCAGCCGGGCAGGTACCAGGAGGCGAGGATCTCTTCTCCTCCCTCCACGGTCCCATTCCCTCCCCCTCACCTCCTTCCTCCTCTGCCATCTCCCCCTTCTTCTTCTTCTTCTTCTCAGACCTCATCTTCTTCTTCTTCTTCTTCTTCTTCTTCTTCTTCTTCATCTTCTTCAGATTGGAAACTTATACTAGTTGTACAGAGATCAGTGTTGGACTTCGGTGGTAAGAGGCTGTGGTACTTACCGGGTTCAAGACTTGGATACTCGGCTGCATCACAGATTGGACACCGGTTACATTAGGACTCTGTATCTCCGACATTGGTGACTTATTGTCCGCGACATTTGATCTTGTTCGATGACATTTTGGATTACCATATCGGTGACCTACTGGTTTCTATCTCGGTGACATCTAGTGCTACCTACATCTCCCATCTCTCACGTCTCTCCTTCCACCTTCATCTGTGTATGTGCGTACGGGGCCTGAGCATCGTCTATGCATGGCTCAGACCCCACCATCTCACGATTGTATGTGTGTGGAGTGATATCTGTGTGAGTCAGTCTATGTGAGTCCGTCCGTTTATCAGACTTTCGTTGCATACATACTCATCCTATATTGGTTGATCTTTGGTTCTGGCCCATACTCGTTGATGAAATCACGAGTATGTAACAGTTAGTGTCCAACAGGTCAGATCGTATCTTTGAGTATTCCACTGCGTTGTGCTATTTTTGTATGTGTATGGATGTACATTGCTTGTTGGTACTTTGCCGATACTGCATTGTGCAATCAGACTCGACCCTGGACTTGCTCACAACATGCACACTTGAAAACTGATGGCAAAACCGAACTCTTCCAACTCAGAAACAACAATGAACTTGTATTGAATTCAGTCTGAACCAACTGTACAACTTGCGGCTATGGCCGCCGAACACTGTCTCTACCACCAGCCTCGCTCTCCCTCACTCTCGCATGCACGGACGTGCCGAGGATCACCCTGAATGTCCACGCTACACAGTTACACACACACTCTGTACACGTTGTCTGCATTAACAGTTGGGCGGTTATGGCCGCCGTCGTCTTCCTCCTCCTAGCTATGGCCGCCGGTGTCTCTCTTGCTGGCTCACTATGGCTGTTGTCTTCTTCACAGCCCACTTCTTCTCCGGGCACCTGCAGTCCTCCATGCACAAGATACCAAGGCAGCTCTTCCACATGGCACACAGGCAAATGAATGAATGGCTGGACGCTGCCTCTTTATTTATACCTCTTTGGAGGTACCCGGGCCTGTCTCGAAAAGTGTGGGCCTGGGCCAAAACGTGTGGCCCAGGGAAGTTTCCAGACGTTTGGTCTTCTGGGCCAAAACGTGTGAAACCCACAGCGTGCTCCAGAACCTTCCCCACGTGCAGCCCCTACCCCTGGTACTTACTGACTGGACTGGCCTACAGGGACCTACGACCTTCTAGAGCCTACAGACTTACAGAGACTCTAGGCCTCAGTAGACTCAAATAGAGACTTCTTGAACAGACCTTCCTAAGCCTGACGGTAACAGACCTAACTCCTAATCTACAGACCTAGGGATCAAGTCCTACTGTCCGACCAACAGATTAGCCTAGGACGTAGGGCAGGTCTAGGGATCGAATCCTACTCAGCACACAGGTTCAATGTAAAGGGTTAGGGCACTGGGGATCAAATCTTTGTGTTTGCAAATTCGGGTCAACTGAGCGACACCGTTTCACCCCCACCGTTCTAAATTCGAGGTCCTCCGAGAACACTCTAAGGGTAGGACCTTTGCCCTTTCTTTCCCTCATAGGCGTGCACTATGTCGGGAGCGGTTTCTAGAAGCTCTGTTCTTTTAAACCATCGGTCGTCCTTGGGTTCCTGGTATGCGAACCTAACCTTATACTGTTTCTGGGGACGACCTCGACCTCCTGTCCTAAACATGTCCTCTTCCACTATGTGATCTATGTCATATGCACCGTCCATGTCTGGTGGAATCATTGACCTTGGGGAAGGAAATCTGTCGGACGTGGTGCAAGGTAGCAACTTGGACGCATGGAAGATTGGGTACGTGTGGAGGTGTGTTGGGATTTCTATTGTGTAAGACGGGCCGTCCTCTCCTCCCTTGACTTCTAGGACAGGCCATGGTCCTCTATATGCAGGTAGGAGCTTCTGCGAGATGTTTTCCTTTGGTGCAAACTCCTTTGACTTGACCTAGACTAGATCGCCTACCTGAAATTGTGAAGGTGGGCAGTGCTTGTTAGCTTGCTCTATCATCCGATGCTGGGCTTTTCTCAGATTGTCTATGACCTTAGCGACTTATGTAGCTCATTAGGAGTCCTGCAAGTAGCTAGGTGGACACTATTATTGTAGGCGCTTGCTACTTTGGGAAGCATCTCATCCCAGCTTACCTGATCTGGTCTAATAATATTCTGAGTAGCTGTTGCAAGATCTTATTCATCTGCTCTGTCTGGCCGTTAGTCTCTGGGTATTGTCCTGACGACATCAACAGCTTAGACCCATAGACTTTCATAAGATCCTGCCAATTCTGACTAGTAAACCACGTGTCCCTATCACTAACTATGGATAGCGGCATGCCATGCTCGCTTACCCAGAAGTCGAAAAACTTACTAATGACTAAGTTTGTACGTGCCTCGGAAGGCAGGGGAACAAATACTACATACTAAATCGGTCTACTATGACCATGACTTGAGTTTTTTCGTGACTGCTTCTGACCCCGGTATCCATAAAGTCAATGGAAACTGAATCTCCGGGTCCTAAGGGAATAGGCAAGGGTCTAAGAAGACCTAGAGGGGCTCTAGTTGTAGTCTTATTACGCTGACATACCTTGTAGTTGCGCACGTACTCTATGCAATCTGCTTTCATACCTGGCCACGTGTATGACATCATGAGATTAGCCAGAGTCTTCTGCCATCCGAAGTGCCCTTTTGTATCGTGGCATTCCCATAAGATCAGACTGCGGATCTCTTCACTATTGGGGACGCATAGTCTGTCAGCGACATTGGTCTTCTCAAACAGTGGCCCATTCGTGGTCCGGTAGTGTGGTTCACTATCTGGGGCTTCCTTTACTCTTTTCAGCAGCTCACTGTAGATCGGGTCATGTGCGTAGGCATCTCTCACCTTCTGCTGTAGATCGGCCCCTGTGTCTAGCTAGTGCACTGTCGCGCCGAAGTAATCAGCTCTCCTACTCAGAGCCCATGTAGTCAATTTGGGCGTCATCTTGGCATGTGTTTTTAGCCATCTAAGTGGTTTGAGTAAACCTTGAAGTGCCTCCCAAGCAGGTAGTGCTTCTAGTGGTCTAAAGCCTGCCTGAGAGCGTAGAGTTCCCTCTCATATGTCGATGCTGCGACTTTCTCTGAGGGCAGCCTTGCTGACATGAACTCTACGGGCCTATAACCGTTGCCGTCATCTTGCTATAGGACGACACCTGTGCCATACTGACTAGTGTCTGTAGTGACAACAAATAGTAATGACGGGTCAGCAACTTTGAGGACAGGGTATTCTATTAAGGCCTTCTTTAGTTTCTTGAAGGCTGACGTACAATCCTGGTCCCACTTCCAAATAGTCTCTTTCTTCAGTAACCTACAAAGGGGAGCAGCGATCGTGGAGAAGTTCCTTATGGACTTCCTGTAGTAGTTAGCCAATCCTAAAAAGGAACGCAACTCTGTCAGCGTTTTAGGAGTCGGCCAATCTCTAATGGATGTTATCTTGTTGTCCTTAGGCCGAATGCTATCGCCGTCTAGTACATGGCCTAGGTAAAGGACCTCTGTCTTGGCCCATTCGCACTTCTTTGGGTTAATCTTGAAGTTAGACTCTCTCAGCTTGCTTAGAATCTGTCGTAGATGGCCCTCATGTTCCTCAAGGGTCTTGTTGAACACTAAGATGTCGTCTAAATGAACTACGACGAATCTATCTAACCATGGTCTAAACAAGTCGCTCATACAGCGCTGGAATGTTGTCGGTTCATTAGTAAGTCCAAATGGTATAGCGAAATGCCCATACCTTTGCATGAACGTCGTCTTATACTGATCGTCAGGATGCACCTCTATCTGATGGTACCCCGATTTCAGATCTAGCTTTGAGAAGTACCTGCATCTCTGCACTCGATCTAATAAGTCATCTATACGGGGTAATGGCTCTGCATTCTTGATTGTGATGGCGTTCAATCCCCTGTAGTCTATACACATGCGTAGCTCTCCCTCCTTCTTTGGGACAAGCAGAACAGGTGCGCCAAACAGTGACGAGCTAGGCCTGATCCATCCTTTTTCGAGGAGCTCGTCTAACTGTCTGTGAAGCTCCTCTAACTCCTTGGGAGACATCCTATAGACTGCTCCCTTAGGCGTTCTACTGGCAGGTTCTATCTCTATACGGTGCTGGATCGGTCGGGGCACTACTCCTGAAGGTGCTTCCGATAAGTCTGTGTACTCTTCCAGCAAACTGGCGATAGTAGGATGAATCTTCTCTTCCTCTTTAGGCTCGTCAGAAATCTGCCTAACATAGGCTACAAACACCTGCTCTTCACGCTGCTCCTTTCGCACAAGTCTGGCGAACGTAGGAGCGCTGAGACAGCAATGGGCAAAGGGGATTATCTACCCCGGACTCATGGAAAAGGCGGACTTGCTTGACTTCGCCAGATGCACTAGGGAGCCTACACTCGTGCTCTCTAAGGTGCAGTGTAGCTCCTGCTGCCTCTCCCCAATCTGTGCCTAACACGATATCAAACGGGAGACTCTCTTCTACGAGGAGGGTCAAGGAGTGCAGTACCTTTTCTACCTTCCGTTCTTTCTCTAGGCGAAAATAGGCATGGACCCCCTCAACATACTCTTCAACGTGCATCCTACTGTTGTTGCAAGGATGCTGATTATAGGTTCCTCTAATCGCCGAACTTTTAGATTTAGCTTCAACTTCTTCAGCGCTCGACGACTAATATAGATCCTAGTTGCCCCACTGTCTATTAGGGCACCTACTCTAGCTCTAAAAATCTCTACGTCTGAGGATCAGTTGTCCTTTACTATCCTTCTTCATCTTGGCCCAGGCTCGCCTCCTATCTTAACTCTTCGGCTAAGCCGGTGAGGGAAACGTCTAGAGAGACCCTAACACAAGCAGTCTCTGAACAACTTGCAAGACGCCGACCTGCAACCTCTGCCATGGAGATATGTGGAGTGGGAGACTCTACTTCGCGCGCACGATCAAATCCACATACTCCTGGGGTAGGGGCAGTTGCGACCCCTGCCGGCGGCTGTCTTTTGCTGCCCCAGACGCAGCACGGTCCCTATATTTAGGACATAATTTTATGATGTGGCCTGGGTCCCCGCAGAATACGCACTGAGAACTATTAATGCGTCCTTGCCATACTTCTTGATTTATGCCCAGATCTAACCTGGGTCGGCCTTTGGGCCGGCCTGGGTGCCACCTTCCCTGTTTGGGGGGTGACCGACTGGAACTCGAACGGTTAGACGAGGGACCTCCCCTTCCTCCCGCTTGGCGGTTGCCGTTGCCACCAACCCCCTGGCTGCCTGGTCCTCGGCCACCTTGGGCCCGACCATTTTGGCCGGACCTTTGTCCTCCTCTTTGTGGCCTCCCTCCGGCCGCGACAGCAGCGTAAGTTCTCCCCTGGCCTGCGCCACTGTCCTCCTCCTGTAGTCCCCACTCATTGTCAAAGTAGGGAACATCCTCAACACCACCTTCCTCCATCGTCAGTATCAAACTGTCTTTGGCCTTAATTTGGCCGGAGATGGTGCGTCCATTCCACGTTTTCCCCTTTGACAGATCCTTGTGCCAGAACGTGGTAACTGGCGACGATTGGGCGGCAAATGCAACTGCCTTCCGACTGAGAGTATCGTACGTCATGCCCTGTTGATTCTTCTTCTCGAAGAAGTGTCAGGCAGGGCACGGTAGAAGAGGTTAAGAAGTCGCGCATCCAGTACTCCATGCCCAGGGACCGCAATAAGTTTGTCCATGGCGGACTTAAGAGCGCGCAAACTCTTCCACTGGCGAGTGTGTATCATTTGGAGTTTGTTGGAGGCTTTAAGCCCCCGCTTCACATAAGAAAATCGCTCCCTGAGTGATTTCAGGAACTCTGAGAGGGGTGTCAGTCTAGAATAGGTGACCATATCGTTCTCGCAGTTTGCAGCGCGGGCGAGCGACCTAGCAAAGTTGGTCGCCTCATCTCGAAGGGCCTGGAAGGCCACCAAATCGTGGTCCTCAGGCGTGACTTCTTGTAAGTACAGGTAGGAGTGCACGTTGGCCTCCCAGTTGTCAAAATCCTCCCCCTTCTTTCCACTGAAGGGTTCGGGGAAACGGACCTTAACTTTCTCGCGTCGTGGTGGGGCTGTGTCGCATACCGTAACGGTACAGACCAGAACAAGAACCGACCTCTCTCACATAGTACAAGATAGCGCAGCGGAAGGCTTAAATACCAATGATCCGAACAATCAATGTTGCAATGCAGACCAGACATACGTCATCATCATTCCATGGTGTGAAGGGGTCTGGCGCTCACACAGGAAGAATGCGCAAGTCTCCAACCATACACAGACGAAGAAGAGGGGGGTTAGACGAAGAAGAGGGGAAGATGGGAATGTCGTCAACACCAAGTCTTCGGTACAGGTCCCAAATAATCCCTCATCAAATGTCTAAATCCCAATGTTGAGTCTGGATCCAAATGTCGTCAAGTCCCAAGGTCACCAATCTCTCTCTCTCTCTCTCTCTCTCTCTCTCTCTCTCTCTCTCTCTCTCTCTCT